CTCATCGATCTGCCACTGGGGAACACCCCTCCCCCCACTTGCTGACCGGCCTGGGGACTCCCTGCTTCCAGACTGGCTGCCGGGGGTACACCAACTGAAAAAGGTTGAAAACCCCTGGCACAGAAGCACACCAGAAGAGACAGACCTGAGTGTGGCAGGGAAAGCTCCCCATACCCCTGGGACAGGAACTGTGGGCAGGACTTCCAAAAGTGGCTGAGGGAGGCAAGTGTCCAATAGATGCTGGGTTCATAGCTTCATTAGGCACTTCTGAAACTTCAATCCTCTCTTCCAGTGTTTGTACAAGCTTAACATAAGTGGGGCATGAGGCTTCCTTTTGAGTAATTCCTCCAGGTGTTACTGCCATACTCACTGTAAAGGGCAAAATCCTAACATGCTCCCATGCTTTGACTAGCACCTTGGTTCCACAAGCACCAATTGTTTCTGGGCCGTTTGCTTATCACCCATTCAGCTAATCACATCCTTCATCTACTTAGGAGCATAGGACTGGAAGGGACCTCCTGGGCTACAGAGCTCAATCTCCTGTGTTCCTATGTTTGTAGGCAACCATTTACTCAAGGATTCCCTCCGCCCTCCCCACTGTCATCCTCATACAAACTTACAAGGTGCAACAGCCAAAATACAAAGAACATCCTATAGGATACTGTGGATAAAAACAGTAGAGATGAGGCATTGCCAGAGGCCTGCTACCACCATGACAGCGAATATGTTCACTAAAGTATTCTCCTAAGAAGTGAACCATTCTGTAGCATCCTGTCTATTGCTGCCTGATCCTACACACAGAGCACAGGCCTTCACACTGTAACTGGGAAGGCTGCCATAAAGGGACACATCATAGCAGCCATGTCTTTACTGGTTTAACTCCTGAAAGATATTCCATTTAAAACCATTTCTGAGGAGAGCAACGGAGCAGCAATGAGAGGTTAACTTATTTAAAAATGCATTAACTTGCCCTACATCCTGTAATAGCTCTTCTAAGTATTATGTGTGGTAAATATCGGAAGACAGTCACCTTATAATTACTTAATTTTGTCCGCTATTTACACCAACGTGTTTTCCCAGATCAGGATTTCCAAAGAGTCCACTGAACGGAGAGCTTAAATGAAATTCTTCTTTCAAATGTGTCCTGAAATATCAGATGAGGCTGTAGGCCCCAACTTATCTTGTGTATTCATTCAGACAACAGTGCAAAGACACCAACATAAACTTTTACCATTTTGCACAAGTCAGAATGAGTACAAGAGTAATTATCACAACCTTACAGGGTGGGTAGTCTGCTCCTTCTGCACTGTCTGTTCCACAGCTTTTTATTCACCGAGGAGAGATTTTCATGCTTCACTTCCATTTCCACAGATTACATGTTTCTGCTCTGATTTGGGATTTTTGGCTCTCTTCTGTGTGTGACATCACTAGACCTGATACCTTCTGCCCCTTGAATCTGCTGAAGTGGACAGTTTGGGTGAGTGACGAGGAGTGCAAGCCAGGTTTATTAAAAGGAGCATCACTTCAGCAGTAATGTTAATTATCACCATGGAGGGATACTCTGGAGAATTGCTCTTTAAAACAATAAATGTGCCTCTTCTGAAGTAGGAGGGACAAACACTTTATTTAGCAATTACAGGGTGCTTGTACACATGACAACAATGGGTTTTTGTAGTTTAATTGTGTCACGCTGTACACATTGTGGGGTTATGATTTTAAGGAGTTTACTACATTGCAAACTAAACCACATTCGCATATAGTTTAATTTGCAACATAGCTATCTGTAATGTTGTAGCATATGACAGCTCGCCGCCCTGCCATGGGAAAGGTGGCCTGAAAGCAGAAGCAGCGAGGGGCCCAATCCTTTTTTCCACAGACCCCACCTGTCTCTCCTGTGGCTGGAGGTGAGGTGCCAGTGGACTGAGCAGCCCCTGAGCTGTGGAGGGCCCCAGTCCTTTCTTCTGCAGCAGCGGTGCCTCCTGGGGCTGCCCAGGTGGGCTGCTAGCAGGCAGGTGCTGCTCCAGCTTGGGCTCAGAGAACAGTAGGATTGGGCTGGATGCTTTCTGCGAGCTGGGGCAGCACCCACCCACTAGCTACCTACCTGGGTGGCCCCAGGGGGTGCCACTGCCATGGAAGGAAGGTCTGGGGCCCTCCACAGCTCAGGGCCCACTGGCAGCTCACCCCCTGGCCATCATAGAGGCAAGCAGGCGCCACAGGAAAAAAAAAAAGGATTGGGCCCCTCACTGTAATGGTAATGGAAGACCCTAAATTGAAACGGTGTGTGTTCTTAATCATCACAATTAAAAACCCACCCTTTCAATTTACAGGACTAAACCCCCATGACATGTACAAGTGGCCTCTGCAAAATTTTCAGCTTAACCAATATAAATCCCCTGGGAGAAGGATGTAAATCACTATTTTTATTTTTATAGATTGAGAAACTGAGGCACACTGACCATATTACTGTCACCGGGTCTAGAATACTTCTTCAACCTCTCAGCAGAAAGACCTGATTCTATTATGTTTGCTTTGTCCTTCTCTCCCAAATAGAACAAAGCCTTAATCCCCTTAGCCCTTGTGCCTCCCACTTGCCAAGTACTGAATCATCTTATGTCCCCCTAAAACCTGTTCAGAGAGCCATTTGAGCACCTGTTTAAGTCCCAGTCACCCCAGTAGGACAAAAATGCATGCTAAAATACTTTCCTAGTATACTCAGTAACGCTACACCAGATTTTTCCTGACCTAGAAATTAATTAAAACATTCAACAAGTCCTTCCCTGAGCCCTCTTTATTTCCCAGCAGCTAGAAAATGGCATTTAATTTGGGGCAGCTCTGCCCCCAAACCCTGGAAATCAATCAGCTTCCTAGTGACAGCCAAATACACACTGTATTCTACACAACAGGTATAAATAAAACACAAAAAAATAGTCTGTTACCCAAAGAACCATCCAGTGCTGTGAGAAAGTAGCTTTGGCTGAAAGCTTCCATGTTGTACATATTTAATTAATAATATATAACAACATTATCTCCCTGCCCCATCCCCAAGTCTGCCTCTGACATACTTGATGCAGCTGCCATCTAAATGTGGCCCAGTCAAATTTCACCCATTTTTATTTTCCCTTTTCATAGTTTACATACTACTAAATCTGGGAAGATATTTTATTAAGGCCGTGTGGTGGTAATGATGATGATGAA